AGACAAAGAACAAGAGGACAGGGAACAAAAAGACGAGGTGAAAAAAGAAGAGAAGTCAAAACCCAACCACGCACCCAAATCGAAAGTTGCAAAGAAGAAGCTTAAAGTTAAGGGAACACCGCTGACAAGTTTATCAAAGACAGTGACTTACAAGAATCACAAGTACAAGATCACACCAGTCGTGGACTGGGAGCGAATCTCTAAAATGCTGGAAAGTCTTGGCTACAAGGCTGTTCATATTGTTGGCGTCAAGGACAAAAGCATCCACAAAGATCTTACGGAACATCTTAAAAAGCACGGGGTTGACAATATTTTGTCACACAAGATAAAAGGAAAGGCCGCTGCGGAAACGTTTGTGTCAGCTGTTCACCGAGAAAAATCTTGGCATAATGGTAAGGTTTTTTAATGATGAAGGTTGTTTATTCTTTAGTCCTGTTTTTGCTATTTTGATGGGGGGTCTGTCGAAAAAGGGGGACTGGTAGGTACTCTCAACACTTTTAGACCAACAAGTCACCTGGAGATGAAGGATGAAGGTTCAAACTTTAAACTTTGGAAGTATTAATGAATTCAATCTCAACTTATAATTGTCGGTTAATTATAACTGATATTATTTCTGTTAAGGTAACAATGAACTGATAAAATGTCCATCTGTACAAATTTAATCCCCCACTACCTGATGTCTGTCGCTTTGTTCTCGAAATTGTATCATTTGCGAGATCATTCGGAATTTGAAGTGCAAATCAGTTTTCATGGTGGCTTCTTCTGGTATAAAACATGATCAAACACTAAGAGTGTTTATTTTGCAGACGAATATTTTAAGACACACTGCCATCCAAAGTGCCTCACGAACTGCGTATCCTCTTGCATGCCGGGATGTTGCCGCGAGCACGACAAGGTTTCAGTCAAGACAGGTCTCGCCAAACATTGCCACGCATCCTGTTTGACGAACTGCCTGCCATCCTGCGGTAGCGGCTGCTGCTCGGCTGACGAGGAGCGAAAGAGGGGCCACCACTTCTTACATTATCAGAGGATAAAAGATTACCACAGGGCTAAGGATGAAGCGGCTGCCAAGCAGCACGACCAGCCCAAAGAAGACACTAAAAAGCAGGAAGACAAAGTGAATCCCAAATGCCATCCGCAGTGTAAAGAAACTTGTATTTCGTCCTGTGGCAAAGGCTGCTGCACAGACGAAGGCGAGAGGTTGAGAGACGAGAATGAGAGAAAGATGAAAGATCAACAGGAAAAATATAGGAAGGACAAACAAAAGAAGCTTCTGGAAATGTACAAACCTCAGCCCAGGCTCTGCCCGGCGCCGTGTCCTCAGGTAAATGAGCTGAAAATATTTTTCAGCGGTATCAAAATTGAAATTAAAAGATTTCAAAAGTCTTTAATTGTTTCCTGATATAAAGGGAACAAATAAGATTTAGAATCTCGATTCCTGGTTTACAGAATTAGTAGTTCATCCAGTGAGCTTTCATAGCGACACCGCTGTGACAATCTTCTTATGAAAATTTATATGGAGGTAAAACTCTGAGAAAAATATTCTACCTGTTGAAAAGAATAAGGAACCCCTATC